CGTAAGCAGTCACTACCTACTGCACGCTGAGATACACGCTACGCGAGAGCGATCGAGAGTATGCCATCACATACAGAGATTGGCGAGTCGCGGTCTAAGGGCAACAAACCAGTTCGCCGCCGCCCGGCGATTGCCGAGGACTCCATAGCGCGAGTGAGTCTGATATTTCAAGCCTGATGTGGCTTCAACCACACATCTAAGGAGTCGGCAGCATGGAGTTGAAATCCGTCGGCTTGTCAATAACTGAGGATCCCTAGGCTTGGATTGTATATGATCAGGCGGCGCCATTTAGTGGCCTCAAACTGCATCCCGCTTGACACTTGTCCCCTGGGTTCAGGTCGAGGAGCGGTCATACATGCATTACATACTAGCAGACCTAGAAAGAGGAGCTACTATACGGGATTCAAGTCTCTGGATGCCTTGGTTATTGAAGACGCCACAGATATATATCACAGGCTGTACCGACCCGTTGAAAAGACCTTGTCCTCGTAAAAGCACCACTCCACTGCATCTAGACCATATTTGGCAAGTACATCTTTGCTCGGAGTCCCTATGCGTGTAAGCCTTGTAAGTTCCTGCTGAGGGCGCTCTCCCAAACATGCAGATGATACACTGATCGACTTGAGGCGGCGAATCCATCGACGTTTGTTCTCCACCTTGATGCCATCCCTCAACAACGTTGCCAGTGCCTCTAGCTCCATAACTCCTCGACTGATTGGCTCTCTACCTGCACCAGTCGTGGCTCCCGGTATAACCAGTGCGCGTGGATGGCAGTTCGCAAGCCAGCGATACCATTCAATCGGCGACCGAGGAATATAAGAAGCAGTGCCCAGGACGAGTGTTGCTCCCGGACGCAATGTCTTGTATAGTCGTAGAGAGCTCGTGATTGACAGGAGCTCTCTTCGTATGGCATCGGTATCGGTGTCCCAGGATGGGCCAAGCGCATAGACACGTGTGCTGTGACGACGGGAGCTCAATGAACGACGTGGGAGGTGGTTTGCAGGAATCCGGGTGATCGCGGCAGCATCTTGTGAGGCGTCCAACATGCCGCGAAGGGCATCTTCAATCTCGCCGGCGAGGATAACTCGAACGAACTCTGGAGGATAACGGGAGGGAGGTGCATCGCCTTTGCGCGAACGATCAAGACCGATGTCAAAACCAATGACTGGGTACTGCCTCCAGGCAGTCCCCAGCTGGTCAGGTACGCCAGAAGCCATATAGAACGATGGGCCATTCTGGACGACTTGACGCGCCATTCCAGGCATAAACAAAGACGGGACGAGTTGTCGTAGTCCAAGCTCGATGTCTGTGTATGTGCTGCCCCCACGGGCCCCTTCAAGGTGAACTTCCACTTCTGGTAACAAGTCAAGCATATGAAATAGCTTGCTATGCGCATCAGGTGCCAGCGAGAGAGACAAGTGGCGAAGATGCGGTAGTGCAACGGCAGGTGGGAGAGAGTTCTCAATGTGCGGATCCTCAGTGCCATCCTCCTCCTCCTCTTCGACCTTGAGGAAGTCTGCCGTTCGAATATGTAGAACTTCGAGCGCAGGGCTATGTGCGAGCCCTTCCAAAAGGTATTCCAGCGGAAGTACCTCAGAAAAGAAAGCGGTGAAGTATAATACCCGCAACTTGGGCCCGGAGAGGAGATACTCGCAGTTAATCAGTCGAGCAACCTCTAGATGAGGCATGATCAAAGGACCGCCTTCAGTGTCCATGATACTCGTGGGAAACGCGCAGCGTAACTCAATATATGTTAAGTTCTGGGCGTGGGCAATATGGTTGATGAACGTCAACGACCCGTAACTGTCTTGTTCCCCTGGCTTACAGCATAGGCGCGGTAAAGCGATGCTAACATGTGTGAAGGGAGACAACCACTCGCGGTGTAGAGAGTTGAAAGCACAAGAACAGAGAGGATCGAGGGCGAGGTAGGAGGCAGTCGTGTTGTCGTTGCGAATGCCACGAGCAGGGAAGAGGACGCGCTGCGCCTGGGCATAGGGCAAGAATTTGCTCTCCTCATCCCGCGGCCACAGTTGCGGGTCCTGGCTTACGGCGTCGCGCCAAGTCTTAGAGACGAGGATCAACTTGCGCGCATCCTGAAATAGCGCACGAGCAGTCGGCCGCTTCACACAACACCTAGCCCCTCGCACTTGCTCGACCACCAGAGCATGAATGCGGTCTACTCTTCGATCATCCCGACTAGCGCTGTGAATTGCATGCACTCCGTCTTGAATGCAAGTTGGGTACGTTGGGTCCTGACAGGGGTCCGTGCAGCGGGTTTGCGATGCGACAGGTCTTAGTAGAGACAGGTCTCCCGGCGGGGCATATGCATCGAAAGCGGCAGCGATATGGAGGTAAAGAACACATCTGGCAAACTCTTGGATGATCTCGATGGGAAGAAACGGGGGAGGGAGTACAGACATGGTGGTCAGAGTGAACAAAGGTCGCATTCGAAAATATCCGCCGGACTACGATAATCTGTCTTTTACCACCACCTTCACCTCCATGACCATCGCCAATCTCCTCGCAAATACGCTCTCGCCAGGTCGATTTGTTCCCCTTAGATATGCTTAAGTATCTAATCTGTCGTTCTCAGATGAGGTCACGCGAGAATCAGCGGTGGCCGAGCTAAGAAACGCTGCCACTGCGAATTTCGTACGTTGTTGTCTGGGTAATCATATGGCGAGCACTAAGTCGCGTCAGCCTGCCTACATGCGAAGCTTGAGCATGGAACTGCTCAATGAGAACAACAACATATATATACGCAGTGCCGCAGGCTTGGCACTGAAGAACAATATATCCTCACGTGTATGTCTGTTTCACTACGTCTGAATCTTGCTCTGTATGCCTCGGCCAGCTAATGCCACTGCTGTCATATAGGACACAAGAGAGCAATATGCACAGACACGTCGCTGGCTGGCCCTTGGCGAGGAGTTTCGTAATGCTGTCAAAACAGAAGTCACGATGTCCTTGTGTTCGTTTGATGGGAAGGCCGGCGCCGTTGCAGCTCTGATCATCGCAGCCATAGCAGCGATCGAAGTACCACAACGCGAAGGGGCTGACATCATGGCTGTTCTTCTCGAACTGTTGCACAGGCAAGACAAGATCTCGCCTGCCGTGTCAATCCTGACGGCTATGGGCTACATATACGAGCAGGTCGTGGGTATTTTCCCTGTACACTCACTGCAGACAGCATGATAACCAACGATAGGATCCTACCTTATTGTCAACTAAGTTGGACGATGTTCTGAGTGTTGTCACTCCTACTCTGGCTAAGCGTGGGCCGAAATCAAGCGAGATTCAAGCCTCCGCCATGAACTTGCTCTACATCTTGCTCCCCTTCATGCAGAAGAATTTTGAGGAAGAGAAGCAGCGCGACTGTATAATGGAGGTGCGAACATTACGGAGGCATGTATCAGCGTGTTATTCATGTCGTGATAGATCATTCATAACTCAGCGTGTGACCCCCATGTCGGCACTCAAGTCAAGGCTTTCGAGTGCATGGCTCGTTGCGTGACGATGTACTACGGGAAGATGAGAGTCTACTTGGAGGGCGCTTTCTTGAAGGTAATGCCTTGACTAATCAACTCTACCACCACTCATTTGCCTACAAACAGATGTCCGCGGTTGGCATGCAGTCAAACGTGGAAGATGTAGCGTTGCGCGCAATCGAGTTCTGGACGTCTGTCGCCGAGGAAGAGGTACAGCTTGAGGAAGATTATCAAGACATGCTTGCCGGCTTGGTTGAAGATGTGATAGAGCAGCCAGGCTACTATTGCATGGCGGCATCGTCTACGATTGTTCCCGTGCTCTTACTGCTTCTCGCGAGGCAGGAAGAGGACGCCGACGCTGAAGAGTGGACCATCTCCAAGGCGGCTGGCGTGTGCCTCAGCTTTTTTGCATTAGCCACTAAAGACGCGATTGCGCCAGGAGTTATTGACTTCGTCTCAGGCCACATCCATGACCGAGATTGGCGTTTTCGCGAGGCGGCGATCACAGCTCTGGGATCTATCATAGCAGGTCCAGCACCTAGCACGCTCATGAAGTCTGTGAACGCTGCACTGCCAATTCTCTTCGATCTGATGGGAGATCCGCATGCAGGCGTGAGGGAGACGACGTCATGGGTACTCGGTCGTATCTGTCAAAATCTCCCGACATATCTCGACCCGGCTGACCACATCCCTAAACTCGTTGCTGTGCTTACACGTGGTTTGCATGCGGAGGAGAGGATAACCAATAATTGCTGTTGGGCGCTCAAAGACCTCGTGGATGGTATCTCTGCGTCCCACGAGAGACCTGAAGGCATGGTTGGGAATACGATAAGCATAAGCCCCTTCATCTTTGATGTTGTGTCGACTCTAAATGCACTAACCGCTACGTGCGTCCTTATCCGAGAGCTTGTGTGGTGTTTTGACTATGCTGACTTGTTTGAACAGGGCGCTGCATCAATCAGACTATCGCACTGCGGCGTATGAAGCTATCTCTGCATTCGTCAATGCCGCGACACCCGAGGAGCACACACAGGTGTTGGCGGGCGTCACTCTCATGGCTCTCGAACGCATGGAAGCTTTGTTATCTAGCGACAACCGACCCTCAGACACGGATGGCTACAATAATTGGGAAGACCTTCAGGCGAATTTGTGCACAGTGCTCGCCGCCATTATCCGCAAAGTCGGGCCGGGCATGGCAGATCTAGCCGAGCGTATCATGAAGGACATCACGGATCTCATCACAAGCGCGGACTCAGCGAGCGTTGTTCTGGAGGATGCGTTCATTGTCGCCGGCAGCCTCGCTGCAGCCATCGGGACTAAGTTCCAGCCGCATGCTGAAACATTCTTGAGGTTACTCTACCCCGCTCTGGTGGCGCAACAGGACGCCCGACTCTGCGAGATTGCGGTTGGTGTCATTGGCGATATCTGCTCCGCTCTGAAGCGTCAGATCAAGCCATATGTCGATGCCATCGTGGAGGTTCTACTGGCAAACTTGAAAAACGAGAAGCTCGCATACGGGGCCAAGCCGATCAATCTAGCATGTTTGGGAGATGTAGCCATGGCTGCTGAAGGCGACTTCGCGCCCCACATCGGACCTGTGATGACAGTGCTCTGCGAGGCGGCAACTGCGCAACCAGAGTCATTCAGTCCCGACGTCATTGAAGCGTTGCGGGAGGCCATCTTGGAGGCTCACATGGGTGTCATCGTCGGCTGTAAGCTGAACCCTGCATCCGACACATTACGCCCGCACGTCGGCACGATCCTCGACGCATGTAGGACCGTGCTCCTGGATAAAAGCAGCAGTGAGGACCTAGATAAGCTCGCATATGGAGTCATCGGAGAACTCGCGGATTGCTTCCAGGATGGAAGTATAGCATCGGTACTCAACGAGCAACAGTGGCTCCGGGACGCATTTGAGACAACGGTCGTGTACTCGAAGGACACACGATACGCGATACGGTGGGCTAAGGGCGCGACAAGGCGGGCGGTGGCGCAAGATGTTGTGAGTTCGAACAGCGCGTAGATCCGTTTGCAGTGGAGATGAAAACGTATGATGATCCCGAGTTTCTTGCTCGACCTTGGTACTTCCCCACGAGCTTTCTTATGATACGAATGTCACATCAAATTCCAACTGAACAGTTCTTGTATACATAATGTATTCCCATCTGTCACGGCCAATGTAATCAATATAAGCTGCTGAGTGAGATTCTTCCGCGAGCGCGTTTACGTAAACCACGAGGCAACTCTTCCGCTGCGCCACAGCGAATCAGCGATAGCAGCGTTTGCTTCTCCTTTCCAAACTTTCATCGTCCATGACCTGACCGACGTCGTACGCTCGCGATCCGCCACTCAATTCGACAATATGGATCCTGCTGAAGTCCCCGAGTGAGCCCCTGGACACCCGCCCTGGCCGCTACGTCCACCGATATGTCTTCACTCTTGAAGCAGAGAGCGGCGTCATTCACGGTCCAACTCGCGCTCTTGAATGGCGTAAGCCTGTACGTGCTCTGGGAACATGTTCTCCCTGACGAAGACAGCCCATATAACAGTAGCGCAGGGTTTGTCGCCGTCGTCAAGTTCGAGAGGGAGAGGAAAGGGCCGGAAGGCTCTCGGGGTGACGATACTCAGGCAACTCCTGTTACAGGTCGGGCCGAGCCTGCGAGGCCGGAGCGGCGGTCCAGCCGAGCGCAGCGCGGCAGCTACTTACCGAGAGCCAGTCTCGCGGCGCGCCAGCGCGTCTCGCTCTCGCGTCGATTTTCTCGTCTTACCCCACCTACATATCCGTTTTTCTCGCCATAATCGTTGCGCTCGCTCTCAGTCCCGCCCTCTCATCCTTTTTCCTCGGCTCGTATCGAGCCGCGTCCGTGCCGGCTCCACCGACAGTCCCCCAACCGCTCAGCTCGCGGCGGGAATAGCACATCGCGAAGATGAGGCTGGACGCCGCGCTGTACGTGAAGATTCAGGGCGTCGCACAGATTCAAATTCATGCATGCACATGTAGCCGGCGCTGTAATCGCTTCCCGTTGCTCAGCCGGTCTCAGTACCCAAGTCCGGATACTCTGCGGCAACAGCATCGACGCCAGCTGCCCCCGCCCAGTCTTCCATGTCGATCTCGACACCAGCTACGCCTCCTCAGCCCCACGCCGCGCCACTGGTTCGTCGAGTCTTCCTTATGGTAGGACCCGTGCCTAAATTACACCGGTCCAGGCTTCCGCACCACCTCTTCATCGCCCGTGATCCCGGCTCGTCGTCACGGCCGAACCGACAGGTCCCCCCTCGGTGGCGAGTGGGTTTCGGCTGAATTCTCGCAGCTAAGACACGCAACACCAGTGTTCTTTCGCATCAACGACTGGCTTCCCCGTTCACCTGGACACGAACTTCTTCGCGCGTACGAGGCATACAACTCCACGAGAACATTTTTACGTCGCCCAACGAGGTGGAGGAGCTGAGTCAGTGGCCCCTTTGTCTTTGCCACGAGCCAAAATGTATTCCTCCTTTGTTTAGGAGAAGCAATTCCCACATATATAATGATCTTTCCTGCCGCCAGCCATCTATCTTAAACTCCCTCATGGTTTTCGACGAGACTACTTGCACTGAGAAAGCCAGTACTCCGAGCGCCGTAGGCTCTTCCCGACGTATATGTGGTTGCCCGTACTGTTGTGTTGATCCCACACTTCGGGCCATATTCAGTATTGATCCCGATGGCACATCCGCTCGTTGGCTTGAGCTATTCCATCGGCGTAGGCGATATCAGTACAATCAAGAACTTCAATTATACACCGATACAGTACTCGCGCTCTCGACCTGGTGGCCTTGCCATGCGCTTGGTGGTTATCCACTTGGAAGTGATCGCGAAAGTGCCCAAGCGGTCCAGCTATATGGGATTCATACGTTCTGTCAGTGTGCATTATCACAAACAGACTTCTATCAAGAGCACCCGGTCAGCCACATTTCATAACCCCGAGGATTTGCTCTTCCAACACTGACTAATTGACGCAGGCATACATCGCCAGTGTTCTTGAACTCGCGAACGCCGCACTCCGTCCCCTGGAAACCTACTGCGATATAAAGACATCTCATATAGCTTTGGCCAAGGTAATCTTCGATGGAATATGGCAACAGCGCTGGCGGTTGGGTGAACTTCAGAACATCTATGGAAATGCTATGCTGGGAATATCTGTGACCTTGGAGTCACTCATGTCCATGTTAGCATGCCGGCGAGTACTGCTGTATTCTCATTCTCAAGCACATTTGACATATTGGTTCTTGCAGTAAATCTATATCGCAGTCAGAGGAACTCCTCGCCAGCGCCGAGCGAGCATTTCTGACAGTGTGGATACTCGATCCGCATCTAGACCGATCGATGAACTGCGAATGCGGTGATTGCAACGAGGGGGACTATCTTTGTTGGGCACATGACGGCGCAGACCTGTCCGCCCATCTTCTTTGCCGAGCGATGGGAGGCAAACTCACGATAGGCGAGCGGCTACCCCCTTCACATTCAATCATGTCGGCGATGAAGGGGTGTATCATACCGGAGTTTGGGGCCCGGCTCTACCTCGAGCGCCTCACACAGACTCTGCGCAATCCTGGGACGCTCTTTGAGGTTGGCGGCCTCTACGCTGTTCGCGCTGCATGTGGATCATTCATTGCATCTCCCGAGTTATTGAATAATCCGGCATTCTGTGGTGTACTCGATGCCATGTTTGAGGCGATAGACAAGTTGCGGTCATGCGCATTACCTGGGAGTGTACGCTTCGTAATTCTCGACCTGAT